CAGGCCCCCATAACATCCTTAGTGTTGGCACTGGTACCTCTTGTAAAGGGAGACAGTATTAAGAACAGCTGATAGAGAACAGAAAGGGTTGAGCCTGATTTACAATGGGTTGGCACAGTATGTAGTGCAAGCCAAAAGCTGGTTGCAGGCCCACCATAGCCCCAGAAGACAATGTTGAGGAGAAATTGGGTGGTAAAACATAGGCAAAAGTCTGTTTAAACATCCACTCTATGTGGAAAGATGCAACATTTGGACTTGTGTGTAGTGGCAAGTGGCTTAATGCATTGACCGGTGAGGTGGAATATAAAGATCAAAAGATCTGGCGTAGATCTTGAGGCAAGCTTCATGGAATGGGCATGAAGTATTTCCTACCCATAAGCATCTACCCCACAGGAAACACCAACCAGCGATGTGAACAGAATGGCGTGGCCAGCTGACACCTACCAGCCTCTGTCCTATGCTGCCCAGCACTAACACATGGTTACTCTTCAGCAGGCTCTGCATGACCTCAGCACCGTTATGTTCCTATTCACCAGAGCCAATTTAACTTTTTCTCTGTTGAACATCCAAACTTCCAATGAGAAATGCCAAGTGGCGCCATGCCTTGGTGTCAGATTGACAATGCTGAACCATCTATATACCCTGAAATGTATTTTTTATTTTTTTGAGATGGGGTCTTGAACTTATGGGCTCAAAAGATTGTCCCACTTCAGCCTCTCAGATAGCTGAGACTATAGATGCATCCCACTGCACCCAGCTTGAGTGATTTATTTTGATTGAATTGACACGTGTTCTAGGTATGGGTTCACCTTTCCCATTCACACTCCCTTGTTGGCTTCATAGCCCAAGGCTCCTAGAACACTTAATCAGCTGATGCAGGATCCACACAGAGCTGAGCACTGGTGTAGTGGGCACATGGCAGTAGCACAGACATGACCTCCCACTGCTCCCTGCCACATGCCCAGAAAGTGCTGCCTCACAGAGCAGCAGAATGGCCTGTGGAGGCACAGCTTGGGGATGGCACCCTGCATAGAAGGGGCAACAGCCTCCAAGGTGTGGTGTGTACATGACTGTTACTGGTGCAGTGTCCCCAGGATGTGATAAACAGGCCTGGGAGCTGAAAGGTGGAAGTTATCACTCCCAGTAGCCACTTAGGATATGTGTGTTCCCACACACACCTCTGGGTTCTACAGGTCTAGAAGTCGGACTCTCAGAGGGAAACCTTTCCACAGGGGCACAGGAAAAGGGCCATCCGATTTCAAGCACATTCCAGTCTCCTTGTGCTGAGAGGTTGGCAGGCAAGGAGTGCAGTCTCATCCTGCCAGGGTGATTGGTCCTGGGTGTAGGAGGAGGTACAGTTGCTACAACCTAGCATGGGTAAGGTTGCACCCAGGACATATGATTGGTCGCCTCCCTTCCCAAATTTAATGGCAAAGACAAGTAGCATGGCCAGAGAAGGGCACAATGAGCAGACCTTACCTCTCAGGAATGAGGTTTTGGGTCACTCCATCCATAGCCATCTAGATCAGCAGAGATGCTAAGCCACAGTGAGGGAACCTTTGGTGGGAGTGGAGGGAGATGGGTGTCATTTCAACCTGAGACTACCTGCAGCCACAAGGCATGGTTCATCCTGTCAACTTCCTTTTCTGAAGAAGAGACTGCCAGATCCTGAAAGTGCTGTCTTTGCAGTGTAGTGTGGACTGCAGCTAGTGCTGTGGGTGCCCAGCTTTCCCATTAGGAGCCACTGGGACAACCTCTCCTGGTGATCCTTCCAGCCACGGAGCTTGTGTGCCCACTGGTGCATTTCTTTCCCTAACAGCAACGAATCCAAGGACTGATTGGTGCTTGAGTACAAAGGTCCAGCTCTCGTGACCGCCTGGGGACCCTGTGTAGGGCCAGGCTCAGCCCAGAGAGGGCCTGAAGGGACTTGGTCTTAGGCAGTTCCTTCACTGGTCTCTCCTGCTTCCTCCATTCTTTATTGCAAACCAGTATGAACCTCCATTGTGGAGACAGCCTTCCAGGGGACTTGACCCATGCCAGGGTACATTTTCATATACATAAACGAGGGATACTTAGTCATTGTTCTAAAGAATGGTGTCATGATGTTCAGTCCATGGATACAGTTGTAGGTCATTCTTTTTTTTTTTTTTTTTTTGGGACCCGGGATTGAACTTGGGACCTTGTGCTTGCGGGTGGCGGAACCACTGAGTTAAATCCCCCAGCCTTGTAGGTCATTCTTTTTTTTTTTTTTTTTTTTTTGGTACCAGGGATTGAACTTGGGACCTTGTGCTTGCGGGTGGCGGAACCACTGAGTTAAATCCCCCAGCCTTGTAGGTCATTCTTTTTAATGGTCCTTTGGTTTATCATGTGAATGTCACATTATTTGTTCATTTTCCCTCTTGATTGATGTCTCCTTTATTTCCAGTCTTTTGCTACATGAGCAGAACTGCCATAAACGTTTGCTTTAAATCTATTTTTACCGTTGCATATATATGTACAAAGTAGTTAGCAAACATAAGTTTGGGAGTTTTATTCAGTGACTGATGTGCTTCCTAGCTCTGATTTTGTTGAGGGTCTTCTCCCCTCCCTTTCTCTCTCCCCCTCCCCATCATATAGATAAATGCACATATCTTTAAGTTTATTTATCCGAACTTCACAGCCTACACCCTTAATTCGGAAAGAGAACACTGGTAGCATTCCTGGGGGCTCACTTTGGATCGCTTCTCTCAGTTCCCACCGGTAAAGTTTGGATTTTTAATTTCAGTCAGGGTGCTAAGTAGTCACATTTTTACCAGCAATGCGTAAGATTCCCTCTTCCCCTTTATCTGCAGCCGTGTGTAACTTAGTGACAGAGACACATTCTGCGATATGCCTTCCAACGTGATTTCTTCATTGTGTGAGCATCACAAATGCTTTTATGTACACAAACTAGGACAGCTTTTGGTACTAGGGATTGAACTCAGGACCTTATGCTTGCGAGGCAGGAGATGGCACCACTGAGCTACATCCCTGGCCCGTCAGGTGATCTCTTATAAGGACTGCTGTCGTATATGCTGTTCCTTATGTGGACATGGTTTTAATTCACATTTCCTTGACTACTAGTGAGTTTCTGTATTATGCTTGTTTGTTCTCGGGGTTTGCTATTTTATGTATTGCCTTCCTGTCCTTTGCTTATTTTCTATTGAGTTATTTGTCTTTTCTTGTCAATGTGTAAGAGCTTGTTGTATAATTTAGGTATTAGCCCTGTGTCATTGTCCTTTTTGTTTCAAATGCACTGGTTGTGTTACCTGCTCTGTTTATTAATCTGTCCTTTCTATGGCGTTGAAATGCTATTGTTGTTTATGAAGTTATCACAAGTTCTGGGATCAGTTTGCAAATTATCTATTCTGTTCTAAAATTCTTTTCATCTGTTCCTATTCATATACCATGTAGGTTTGATTACAGTAGCTTTATGTGTATCCTGATGATCTGGCAAGGCAAGTCTTTTATTTTTAAATTTACATTTCTTATCTCTCTGCTTTTAATTTTCTAGAGCACATATTTGTAGTAATTAATATTTACATTCCTTGTGTTGAATCAGTGCATGTACATAACACATCTTAATTCATTTCTTAATCCTCTTTCCCTCCTCTCCCTCCCATTCTCACCGTCTCTTGATCCCTTTTGCATTTGAGAAAGATCTCCCTACTTCCTATTATGTTTTACTTTGTTCTTTATTTATAATTTGACTTTCTCATACGAATGAAATCAAAGCCATACAATATTTAAGCTTGTACATCTGATTTATTTCACTTAACATTATGGTGTCATGGTGTATTCATTTTCCTACAAATGACTCAGATTTATCTTTATGGCAGAGTAGTACCCCATTGTATACAGATATCACATTTTCTTTATCTGCTCATCTGTTGATGGACATATAGGCTACTTCCAAGATATAGCTATTCTGAGCTGTGCTGCTATACCATGGATGTGCATGGATCACTGTAATATGATGGCTTTAGCTCTTTCGGGAAGATACCTACAAGGGAAAGAGCTGAGTCAAATGGAGTTTCTAGTTTAGTTTCTTGAGGAGTCTCCATACTGATGTCCATATTGGTTGTGCTGGTTTGCATTCCCACCGACAATGAAAAAGGGTTGCTTCTATCCTGGAGCCTCGCCAGCATTTGTTACATCTGTCTTCAGATATTTAGTTTTTCACATGCAATTTGAAGTTACTAAATTGCTGTTTTAAAATAAAAAAGGCCTGGGGATGTCGCTCAGTGAGAAGGCCCTGGTTCAATCCACACTAACAAAACAAAACACACAGACACCCAAGTCACTCTGCTTTGAGTTGAATCCTTCTTGTACCACTTACTGTTCAGGTAAGGCCTCCAAAACTTAAAATAAAATCTAAGTTATGTTTGTATTAATGATGTTTTTCTGACTCTTCCACTGCAATATTATTGAGTTTACAAATGTCCTCAGTGGAGCTGGTGGGGGAGCTTAGAGGCAGAGCACTTGCCTCATGTGTACTGGGTCCTGGGTTTCATCCACGGCACCAAAAAGAAAAATCCTCAAACCTTTAAACTTTCAAAGTTTCTATAAAATGTAGACTTTGGGTTTTCAAAATCAAGCAGTCATATGCAAATGCCAAGTAATTATTGTCATTATTATTATTATTTTTGGTACCAGGGATCAAATTCAGGACCTTGTGCTTACAAGGCAGACAGCAGTACCACTGAGGTAAAGCCCCAGCCTGCCAAGTAATTATTTTTAATAAACATTTCATATTTACATAGATTTTCTCCAGTTGATTTCAAAATATTTCACATGACTAGATATTGTAATGATAATGTATATTTTTTAATTGTGAATTTTATTACAATAAAATTTAAGAAAATATATGTAAAGAAAAATGATTATGCCAGCTGTGTTCAATGTTTAGCTAATTGTGTGATTTATATTTCAAACTTTCTTTAATGCTCTATATTTCATTTTTGTTGTTTCTATCACTGTAGATGTGACCAACAAATCCAGTGTTAGGTATCCAGTGCTACTAGAAGATGGGAAAGATCGATCACTGGAAGAAAGGGTAAGTCATGGCAGATGTGGAAAATATGCTAGCCAGTGTGCACAGTTCTTTGTTCTCCAAGAACACACACGCAGTCTCTTGGGGATGAAGGAAAGGGAACACAAGCACCGTAGATTTCCATTGGAACTGGGCTAAGTCCCGAGGCGGGAGGAGGTTCAGAATGCCCAGGCAGTCGGAAGGACAGCTGACCCACCTGCCTGTGCACTGTGCCAGTGTGCTTGTCTGGGTGGTGGGGACAGCAGTTTGGGGTGCCTTTCTGAAGTACGGAAACTGTATCTGAGTTGAGATCCAGTGGCTGACTAGGAGTTAGCAAGCCTGAAGATTTCACTTTTAGAGTGTAAGGGAAGGATGCTGAAGACGTTTTTCAGGTTAAGGGAACTTTGGAGTATTGGAAATAAGCAGAAGTTCTGAAAGAAAGTGGTGCACAGTCCACAATGGATGAGTTAAGCATGTTGGTCTAGAGAGGAAAAAGGAGAGGTCCTGTCACTAAAGACCTTGTATGTGAAGCCTGGGATTTAGCTCAGTGGCACTGCACCTGCCTGGCAAGCACAGCATCCTGAGTTTAATTCCCAGTACAAAAAATAAATAAATAAATAAATAAAACAAAGACCTTATATATGAAACAGTGGTGGAGGGAGCCTAGGGGTTAAGTGAATGGACTCTAGCACAAACTACTTGTGCTCAGGTCCTGTCCTAACTTAATTCAAACTCAAATTTCCTATAGCAGAATAGGCATAATGATAGGACCTATTACTTGGTATGCTAGGATGATTATTCGGCCCTGGGATTTTGAAAAACCATGTATTTCCTGACATATCTTAAAGTTGCTTAAAATATAACAAGTTTTAAAAGTTGCAAAGGATGTGCTTTCTGGTATCTTGTTAATATTGACCTTTAAAATGTATCCACTATGATTAAAACTACTCTAGCAACATGATAGCCATAATCATCCTCTTCATAATTCACATGAACAATGGGCCAGGGACTTAGCCCAGTGGTTCCACCTCCTGCCTTGCAAGCACAGAGTCCTGAGTTTGATCCCCCAGTACCAAACTAAACTAAACAAACAAAAAAGAATACATCAAAGCCGGGCGTGGTGGCACACCCCTGTAATCCCAGCCCTGGGGGAGGCTGAGGCAGGAGGATCACTGTGAGTTTGAGGCCAGCCTGTTCTAGGTCAATCACAACTACATAGTGAGACCCTGTGTCAAAAAAAAAAAAAAAAAGGATACATGAACAAGATCTTCCATGGACTGAAATCTTTTTTCTTTTTCTTTTTCTTATTGAATTCCTTTTCTTGTATTGTCCTCCACAGAATTTTTAATTAATACAATTTTGTGGCTGAAAGTCTGTTCTTGAAAACCATATAAATTTCTCTGCAATAAAAGTGAATATGGGCCAGGGATTTAACTCAGTGGTTTTGCAGCCTTCCTTGCAAGCGCAAGGTCCTGAGTTTTATTCCCAATACATAAATATATATATAAGTTTACAAATTTCCATGACCCATGACCAAGTGTTAAAATATTTTGTTTAAGAATTATTTTTAGCTGGGATTTAGCTCAGTGGTTCAGCCTCCTGTCTTGCAAGTACAAGGACCCAAATTCAATCCCCAGTAACAACAAAAAATTATTTTTAAAGCAATATGAATACATAATTGTTTAAAACAAAGTGTTATCATAAATGAATCTTATGATGAAATGGATAGGGATGCTTTTTCCCCATTGGGTGTTTAGTTTGTGGATCTTTCAAGGTATATTGCACACTGCTGGAATGAGAAAGATCACTTCTGAGTTTTTTTTGGTACCAGGGATTGAACTCAGGACCTTGCGCTTGCAAGGCAGGCGGCAGAACCACTGAACTAAATCTCCTGACCAGAGCTATTTTTTTAAATTACTAAGTAGATTAATGTATTTTTAAATAGTTTTGGTGAATCTTATTTTCCCTATAACAGGCCTTTATTTGCAAGTTGTAAATTATTAATCCTTGCTCTTATACACAGACACAATATCCTCCATTCTTGGTACCTGTCATAACCACGGGCCAATGGAGGCATTTTGAGTTCCTGTCTACGCCAGACCTGGGACTGATAAGTGCACATTTCCTGTGGTAGAGAAAAGTCACTGTTCTAGAAAACACTACAGTTTTACTAGTAAGTGGAGTCCTAAGCAAGGTGCTGGGGTTCATCCCTAGTTACAAAGAAGGCAGGGGAGTACAATTATAAATAATGTGAAGCTTGTGTCCTCACATTATCATATACAAGTTTTATCAGAAATTAGTTTGGTTTGCAGGTCTGTCTTATGAGTCCATGTTTCAATGAAACTGTTTCCACTTTTCTGCAGAATCCTAAATCTTTAACAAGCGAAGCTTCAAGAGGGTCCATCAGGCCCTCCCCCAAGTCCTCCAAGGCCAGGCTCAAAGGACAGCTGTGTGCTGACCAAAAGCTGAAGAACATCAGCCCTTTGGCTTTTTCCAGCTGTTTGATTCCACAGTATAATGAAGAAGCTTCAGTTCTACAGCGAACAGAGAATAAGAGAAAGCATTTCCTAAAGGAAAATATAAACAAGGAAAGCATGAATCTTAAAAGAAAACATATTACATATGATAATTCCTCAGAGAAAACGAGTGAACACATGGCATTGGAAGAGGATGCTGACAAGGCTGAAGCCTATCTAACCTCTGGGGACTCAGGACACATTTGTGACATTAGGTATTTGGATGATTTGGCAAAAAGCCAGCTAACAGAAGCACTCAAGCAGGCAGCAGCCCTGGTAGTGACCCTGATGTATACGGATGGTTCCACCCAGTTAAGAGCTGACCAGGTTAGTAAACTGCTGGTTTTTGCTTTGGATCCATAAACGAAGCCTCTTTTCCTTTTTTTTTTTTTTGTACCAGGGATTGAACTCAGGACCTCGTGCTTGTCAGGCAGGTGCCGACACCTGGCAGCTGACAGCAGTTGCTGTGTAACTGAGCTATACCCCTGGCCCAAGAAGCCTCCTTTCTGAGTCTGTTTTTGATAGGAGAACTAGAATAGGTTTTAAGTCCTTCTCTTCCTCTCAGTGGCGAGCCAGTGATGATGTATAGTTCCAGTTTATATTCATCCCACCAGTAATGTACCAGAGCTTCAAATTTTCCACCTCATTGGATATGTTTGTCTTTTCTTTTTATTTTAAACCATTTAAATGGGTGTAAAAGTGGTTTTTCATTGTTCTTTTAAATTATATTAACCTGTCAGGTGTGGTGGCACACACCTGTAATCCTAGCACTTGGAAGGCTGAGGCAGGAGGATCACTGTGAGTTTGAGGTCAGCTTGGGCTACTTAATAAGTTTAAGGCCAGCTTGAATTACAGAGCAAGGCTCTGTTTTAAAAAATTACATTAACCTAATAACTATTACATTGCACATCTTTTTCTCTGCTTATTAGCCATTCATCTATCATCTTTGGTGAAATTCAATTTTTTTGCCCATTTAAAATTGGCTTATTTGGGGCTGGGGATTTGGCTCAGTGATCCTGCTGCCTTGCAAGGTCAGGAGTTTGATCCCTGGTTACCTCCCCCGCAATTGGCTTATTTGTGTTTTATTTCGGACCTAAAAGAGTTCTTTATATATTCTGATTCAAATCCTTCATAAGATAGATGATTTGTAGTTCACCCAATCTGTGTCTTTTTGTTTTTTTCTTGATGGTGTCTTTTGAGGAACAAAACACTTTAAGTCTAATGAACTCTAGTTTTTAAAAGTTTTGTTGCCTGTGCTTTTGTTATATCTAAGAATGCTTTCTCTATCCCAGGTCATAAAGATTTATTTTTGTTTTGTTTTGCTATTACGGTATTTGAACCTAGGCCTTTTGCGCTGAGCTGCATCTCCAGCCCTTTTTTATTTTTTATCTTGAGTTCGGGTCTTACCAAGTTGCCCAGGCCTATAACTCTCCTTCATAAGCCTCCCAGACTGCCAGGATTATAGGCATGCTCCATCACGTCTGGCTCTTGTTCCCCCCACTTCAGGGGTTTTATAGTTTTAACGCTTTCATTTAGAGTAGTGACCCAACCTGTTACACAGTATGCAAGGCAGGAGATCAGGGCAGAGACTCACCTTTGCATGTGGCTATCCAGTTAGTTGACCAGTATAATTTGTTGAAAATACTCTTTTCCCTATTGAATTTTCTTAGTACTTTTATTAAAAATCAATTGACTATAAATCTAAGGGTTTATTTTTAGATACTGAATTCTTTTCCTTAATCTTTATGTCTGTCCTGTGCCATCTCCCTCTCTCTCTCTTTCTCTCTCTTTTTTTGAGACATGGTCTGGCTATGCAGTTCACGCTGGCCTCAAACTCATGGTGATCCTCCTGCCTCAGCCTCCTGAGTACTGGGATTACAAACATGTACTACCACACCCAGCTTGCACCATATTAATCCTTTTCAAGATTCCTTTGAGTGTTATTGTTATTTGGTATTTCCATATAAATATTAGGATTCGTTTGTCAGTTTCTGTGAACTATCAGCTGGGATTTTGATTCAAATTGTATTGTAACCATAGGTTAATTTTGCCATCTTAATCATATTGAATTTTCTGATTATGAACATGGGATATCTCTTCATTTATTTAAAACTTTAGTTTTGTTTAGCAGTGCACTGCAGCTTTCAGTGTGATATGCAAGTCCTTTCTTCCTTCTTTCATTTTCCTCTTTTCCTTCTTTTTTTTTCTTCCTTGTCTTTCTGTTATCTAAACTAGTCTCAAACTCCTGAGGTCAAGCACTTTTGCCTCAGCCTCCTGAGTACCTAGTACTACAGATACACATCACCATGCCCATTTTGAATTCACAAATCCTTTTCTTTTTGAATCGAATTTGGGACCTTGTGCTTTTGAGGCAGGCGGTGGAACCATTGAGCTAAATACCCGGCCCACCATTCCCATTATGAGAGACATTTTGCTGGCTAAATATTTAGTAGTTTAAACATGTTACTCTACTGTCTTCTAACTTTGCTTATTTCCCAAGAAATCTGCTGTCGTGTTATTTTTATTTCTCTCTATGATCAGCTTCTATTAATGTTTGTCCTTTATCATTGATTTAAGGACTTTTGGTATATTTGTTTTTGAGAAAAATCTTGAACTCTCTATGTAGCCCAGGCTAGACCTGAACTCAAAATTCTCGGCCTCGGCCTCCAGAGGGCTGGGATTACAGATGTGGGCCACCACACCCTACTAAGTTTAAGCTATTTAATTATGATGTAGTTTTCTTAAAGTAGTTTTCTTCTTTTTTTTTTTTTGTACCTAAGGTTTATTGATCTTCTTGGGTAACTTGGGGAGGAGTATCATATTTATTAAATTGAATTTTCCAATGTTTGAATATGACATGTCTTGATTTATTTAGGTCTTCTCTGATTTCTTTCATCAGTATTTTGAGGCTTTCAGCACACACATTCTAAAAATTAATTTTATTGGTACATTTAAAGTATACAATGTAATGACATTCATAACTGGAAATTTGCACCTTTACATAATCCATCTTGGTTCTAATATTTTCCCCATTCCCGGGTCCTCCCTTCAATCCACCCCTCCCTATCTACAAAGACTTTGTTTCCATTTTTTCTTTTTCTCATGTTAATTCCATTCTCATCTTTCCTTTCCTCTACCTCTCCCACTTCCCTTCCCCCTTTGCACCTTTTCTTCCTGTTTCACATTATCTATTATACCTTTTAGTCCTTATTTACACTTTTATTTTCTCACACTAGAGAAACTATTTGGTATTTACACATATGTGTCCTATTCATTTCACTTGAGTATCACCTCAATGTGCATCCATTTAGCTATAAGTGTCTCTAGCTTCTCATTCTTTATGTCTGAGTAGAGCTCCATTTTATAAACAAACAAACAACAAAAAAACATGTTTTCTTTATCCAGTCTCCTGTTGGTGGGCATTTGGGCTGCTTCCAAGTTTTAGCTATCACGGATTGTGCTGCTATGAACATGGGTGCACGTATATCATTGTGGTTTGATTCTTTAATTCTTTGGGGAAGATACCCAGCAGGGCACAGCTGGGTCAAAAGGGACCTCCAATCCTAATTCTTTGAGGCATCTCCATACTGATTTCTTTCCACAGGGGTTGCACCAGTCTACACCCCCACCAGCAGTGGAGCAAGGTTCCTCTTTTCCTGCAGCCCACTAGCCTTTGTTATTGGTTGATTTCTTAACAGCAGCCATTCTTCCTAGGGTGAGGTGGAATCTCAGGGTTGTTTTCATTTGCATTTCTGAAATGACCAGTGATGTTGAACATTTTTTCATATGTTCAGCACAAAAATTTTATACATGTTTTGTTGATTTTTTTGTCTCTTTCATTTTTTTTGGAGTTACAATAAATGGCAGTTTAAATTTTTTATTTTCATATATTTATTGCCACTATATAGAAATATATTTGATTTTTAAATTTTCATATTTTGATTTTGTATCCCGAAACCTTGCCACATTCACGTTTTAGTTTCAGGATTAAAAAAATGGATTCATTTGGATTTTCCACATAGTTATTTATGCCATTTGTAAATAGGGACAGTGTAATTCTTCCTCTTTGATCTACATGCCTATTATTTCCTTTTCTTGTCATATTGTACTGGCTAAGACTTTTATGATTATGTTGAATAGGGTAGAAACCAGATTTGGGGAGTAAAATCATGGTTTGGTTTTTGGCCAAAAGACTATTCATTTACAGGTGTAACTTTAGACCTTTTCTCTCCCAACCTGTTTAATTATAAAATGACATATCTTACTCGAATAGACATTTTGTCTGTTTAACTTTGGAACTTCATTGTATATTCCCAGGCTCCAACTTCTTGTGTTAGAGGGATTGTGATGTTACTAAAGGGCCAGGTGGAAGCAGGCTCCTTCTGGAGTCTGGAGGAGGGATTCAAGCGGGAGGATCAGTGCATATACATACACACAGAGCACACCTGTCTCTGGGACCAAGAACAGGAAGCACATAAGATATTTGCCAGGTAAGAAACCTGATTACCTTCAATTCTGCTTATGTCCTGCTTCATCCTAATGTAGTTTGCAAGCTCCAGTTTTAATTATTTAGGCTTTAGAAATTTTGTGTGGCCAAATGAAAATGAAATAGATCTAAATGACAGAAACCTCTGTAAACGCTGACCCCACCCAAGTTTTTTTTTGGTTTGTTGTTTTTTTTTTTGGTATCGGGGATCAAACTCAGGACCTTGCACTTGTGAGGCAGGCAGCAGTACCACTGAGCTAAATCGCTGGCCCTGTGTATACTTTTCTTTTTAAAGAACAACTGCAAGGCAGGCAAAGGCACCACTGAGCTAAATCCCTGCCCCTGCCCTGGAGCTTTTGAAGTGAGCCCCACTAGTTCTGCAGGAGTCTTCTGAGGTTTGAATCTCTTCAAGGTGAGACCTTGGGGAGTAAAGCCTTATCTCAAGTCTGAAAACCCACTGTCACTGCCAGGGCCCCGATGATTTCCCAGCCCTCTTCCTTCCCTCACGTGTGAGAAAATGAGCTATCTCTGCCGGCAGAGTCAGCTGTCCTCTCTGCCACCAAGTGGTGCCAGCTTCAATGCTTTGTGTCTGTGAAAGTACAGTTTGGATTTAGTTTGGCCCCCGTGATGGCTTATGTCTAGGTGTCCCCCCCCAAAGCCTCATGTGGTCATAGGTAGGGCTTTTCAGAGGTGGCTGGATCAAGTGTGATTATTGAACTAGTCCCCTGATTGGGCTCTGGGAAGACGGCGACAATGTTGACAAATATAGTACTCTGTACACAAGAAATCCTTAACCTTTGTGTCTACTTTTTTTTTTTGGTACCGGGGATTGAACTCTAAACCTTGCACTTGCAAGGCAGGCAGTGGCACCACTGAGCTAAATCCCCGGCCCTGTGTATACTTTTCTTTTTAAAGAACAATTAGTCAGGTCTGTTCTCTGGAGGGCCTTTGTGAGACTAGAGTCCTAGTATTTGGACAGCTTTGCCTGATTTCCAGTTTTATATATGCTACTCACATGCTACACTTGAACGTCTGGTAGCCATTCGGGCTTGTGCATCCTGAGCCCCATCTTCCCTGCTGCTCCTCCACAACCTGGCTGAGTGGGTCCATGTCATCACCAGCTGCCAGAATCTCAGGCCAAAAGGCTTGATACTATTTTTGACTTTGATTTTTCCATGAACTGTATCCAAGTTCTTTGTGACCCCTATTGGCTCCACTTCAAGAAGTAGCTGGACTCTGTCCTACTCTCACCCGGGTAGGCTGTTCTTCTGGTGAGCTGCGGCAGCATCTTCCTGCCTGGACAGCTGTTCCACCTGCCCCTTCAGCCCAGCTGTCAGAGGGACCTGGGAAAACATTAGTCAGATTGTGCCACTTTCCCCACGACCCTCTGATGGCTTCTGCTTGCTCTGAAGCCAAGTAAGAGTTCCTGCCACTGACCGAGTGCCTGTGGGATCCTTCTGCCATGCCTGTTCCTCTCCTCTGACTTGGGTGCTTGACCTTTTGCCAGAACTGTGCATGTCCTCCCCTCCTTGTAGCTCCCCCCCAGATAGCCACATGGCTTGCTGCCTCATCCCATTAGATTTTTCTCGGACCCAACAAACAAAGAGTGAATTATGAAAACACGAAAGTAGAGGGTAGCATCACACTCACCTAGACAAATGTCACCAGATATTTGTATACTTCCTTCATCTGTCCCTTTGTAGAGGTGGCTGAGTGGGCTGGATTCAAAGGAAATTCCAAACTTGTCATTCACCTTCACTTAAGGAACAGCTTTAAGAAATGTGGGCTTTTTTTTTTCAATAGCCACAATACTAACTTTAAACTTAAATATAATGTTCAATTCAAATTTAAAGTCATCTGATTGTCTCGAAATGTCTTTCTACAATATTGGGATCAGGGCCCCAACCATGTCCACACATAACATTTGATGGACTTCTCTCTTGTCTTCTAGTCTAAACCATCTTGTAGAGGTTCCATATCTTTAGTTTGTCTATTTACTTCATTGCGAGGTTCTTTAACTTGCTTTCCTTTCTTCTTTATATAGTGTACACTGAAGTTTGGTTCTAAAGACTCGATCCAGCTTTTTTTCTCAGTCTTACCTTTTCTTCCACATTTATTAGCTAGAATTTCTATAAAATGCTCTCCTTCATTGGCTAGGCTTTTTGTTCTTCTTATCCTTCATGTCTTCCCCATGCGTTACTTGTTAGCCGGACCTTTCCTAGTACCCTCCTGGTACCACCCACATTCTCTTCCTCATTTTCTCCTGTAATACCTACCACCAGCACCATTATATGTGTCTACCTATTTATTGTTTTCCACTCCTAAGAGCAGGGATTTTAGTTTCATTTATTTTTGTATTCTCATGTCTTAGAACAATGCCCTATGACAGGTGCTTAATATTTAGTCAGCTTTTTTAATGAATGAATGAATGTTGAAGATTCATTTTTATAAATTCCAGGATAATTATATGAAGATAATGCCTTGAAAACTGTAAAAGAGTTATAATTCCAATTCTGTAATAGTGTCTCTGGGATTCAAAATGAATTTGTATAAGACACAATTAATGTATTATTAAAACACACTTAATATTTTTCAAAAACATACTTAATTACATCTATTAGCTATATATTCAAGGCCTTTTGAGTGCTAAGTCCACACACAAGATCTCTCATCTTTACGTTATCTCCATATATTTGGTCTTATTAATTCCATCTTTTAGATGAGGAAATTGAGACAGAGAGATAATTAAAGCTATATATCAGTCTTGTGAGTTTTGACTCAAATTTTTGTTTTTAGGCCCAAATCTAGCTTTTTTTGTTTTTATTTTTTGCAGTGTTAGGGATCAAACCCAGTGCATTGCAAATACTGAAAACACCACTGAGCTATACCCCAACCCTACCTAACTTTTAAAATATATTGTAGGTGACTTTTTGTTTTGTAAATGTGACATAATTGACTTACACAGTTGGCTCATAAAATACATTCTGTTTTAGCTTTTTTTATCTTGTGAGATCTTCTTTCGCTGTTTGTCTTATCAAGCAGACATCAGTGGCCTGTGCTCCCCAGCAGAAGGCCCAGTGGCTGTTAGATACCTCACCCAGGACCTGCAGGGCCTTCAGGAACTCTTCGCCCTGTAACCTGATCCCTCTTTCCTCTCTGTTCCCCTGAGGGTCTCTCTGGGGTCTGTCTGAGCCAAGACCAGAGCTGTGCTACACTACTGACAGTTTGCCCTCCCTGCCACCTGGGCTCCCTGTTTGAAGAAACCAAGGGGAAGTCACATAACTTGGAAAAACCCTGAAAATGTCTCTCTCTGAAGTGAAACAAGTCAAGTCCTAGTATAAAAAAATTTTTTTTGGTACCGGGGATCGAACTCAGGCCCTTGCACTTGTTTATTTTGGGGGGGCGGGGTTTGTTTGTTTTTGAGACAGGATCTCACTAGGTAGTTCAGACTGACCTGGAACTCACTATATAGCCCAGGCTTGGCTCGAACTCACAGCAATCCTCCTGCCTCAGCCTCCTGAGTGCTGGGATTACAGGCGTGCGCCACCACACATTTACTATGCAGGAGATTCATACCTTGGTATCTTAGCGTTTAAGCTCTGGTCTCAGAGCCCTGTCACCACTCATCATATGTAACCTTTGGAAGCTAAGGTCCCATACCTGTGAAATGTACAGATTGTATAGCGGTGGGATGGAGTTTTGGTGTGCAGCCCTCATGAGGTGTTAGCGTGGTACCAGTACATGGTAATTATTTGACAGACACGAACAGTTGTGAGTTCCATATTCAAGAAGATCATGAGATACAGTCCAGCAAATGCTGATCCTTGTGTGCTCGGTATGTGGACAGAATACGGAAGGTACAAAGAGACCTGCTCCCCACTGAGGATAGCACTTGAGTAGGTTGCAGAGTTGTGGGAGGGAAACTGTAGTCCAGAATGAGCAAGTGCAGTGGCCCAGGAGCCAGAGGGAAATGGTACAGTCTAGTGATGGAGAGAGCGACTCAACATGCAGGCTGTTGCAACGTCTGAGGGGTTCCAGGATTTCAGGTTGGGGCACTGCTTTGGGGCCCAGCAGCTGGAGTCTGGAGTATGTATGCTTTCTGCAGAAATTCAGACCTCACTCTGTGGCCTGTGTCTCTCCCTAATTTACAACATACAGACAAGAAATAATGCCTGCCTCACAGAATTCATTACTAAGGCATGTATATACTAAATAACGACAGCTTTTAGTAGAGTATTAATATTTTTTCCAAGGTCAACAGTTCTGAATTAATGTCCAAATCAGTGAATTTCTTTCTATCTCCTAGGAAAGTGCTATTCCAAACACTGAAATGTAAATGCCCTGTTATTTGTTTTAATGCCAAGGACTTTGTGAGAACAGTACTGCAATTTTTCGGTGATGATGGCAGTTGGAGGCGTGGTGAGTTGCGTTTACATTGTCTTTACAGTTTAAGTCTTCAGCAGCGACACCCCTGGGGTGAGAGGACGGTGAGCATCACCTGGTCACACCTGTACTGACATACATGCCCACACACCTGCCCTGGCCACGGGGTAGCCCTTCTCCTGTGGGCTAAGTGATACCTGAGCTTTCACCAGTATATATCCCTTTGGTAATTCACTAGTTTTTTGGTACCAGGGATTGAACTCAAGTCCTTGCACTTGCGAGACAGGCAGCAGAACCACTGAGCTAAATCCCCAGCTCCCCTTTGGTAATTTAAAGTAGAAAAAAAAAAAAAAAGAACTTCTGCAGCAGAGTCAGACTGGGATTTATTATTATCACAAAGGTAAAACTTTCTAAGAATTAAACTACAGTCCTAAGCAATTAACATCAAAACAATGTCAGAGACACTTTATCTTTCATTTCAAATGGTAAAAGGCCAGGGATTTAGCTCAGCGGTTTGCTGACTGCTTGGCAAGTGCAAGGGTCTGAGTTTGATCCCTAGTACAAAACAACAACAACAACAACAATAAACCCCCCCAAAATAAAAATAATAGCAATATTTTTATAACATTTTTACTAGGTAAGTAGATAAATGATAAATTTAACAAAAATGTTCACTGTAGAATCTAGGTAGTGAACATTTATGTGTTCACTCCAATTCTTTTCAAATTGTATGTTTGGAAATATTCAGAATATAATATCAGAAAGATATTATAGATATTTTTATTACATTATGTCATATTTATTACAAGATAATTTTATTATAGAAAATTTCTGACAAGAAATAAGGTCCCCATCAACCTATTCAATAATTATCAACCTGTAGACAATCTTTTTCCTCTGCAACTCTCCATACTCCAAACTGCAAATTACGAGCATTATATAATTAATCTCTAAATATTTCAGTTGTGTGACTGAAATACAAAGATTCCTGCTTAAAGTGATGCCATCACTCCCCCAACCTGAGGCTGCAGCAATCTCTTCATGACTAGCCACCCAGCTAGTGTTTGAACTTCCACTTTTGTCCTGTATCTGTTTTTATTTGCTTACCTTTTTTTTGATGTTAGAAGCAATCAGTTGTCATTGTTTAGGTTCCTTAATTGCAACGTGGTGACACAGCTATCTGTCTTCCTTTCCACCTTTTCCAACTTTTAGTAATTGTCTATTACTCTTCTACATTCAGAACAGCTTTATTTTGGCATCCACATATGAGAGAGAACAGACGGTGCTTTGTTTGTGTTTGACTTCTTCATTTGTGCCCTCCGGTGCTATTCATTCTGTTGTAAAGGTTAGGATATCATTCTTTCTCATGGCTGATTAATACTCCATTGTCTCTTCATCTGAAGATGGTCACATATGTTGAATCCACATCTTAGCAATGATGAATAGTGTTGCAATGAACATGAATTTGCAGATGTGTCTGATATGTGGGTATCATTTCCTTTGGAGATACACCCCAAAATAAGATAGCTAGATCATATGATAGATCTGTCTACGTTTAGTTTTTAAAGGAATTCTTCTGTTTGCCATAGTAGCTATGCTATAGAATCCCCTTTCTCCGTATCTTCACCCCCTTGGATGAGAGCTCCCTTTCCTCCAGCACTTATTTAATAACATTCAGTGTATTTTGATCCATTGTACAGTCTTTGATGAATTAGGAAGTGAGTCTTTGTGACGTAAGCCCAATCATCCAGCTTCTAGGGTTGCTTTAACACACTGCCTTCAGTTGGGGTTTTCTGTTGTTCTTTTTTTTTTTTTGAAACAGTGTCTGGGTGTTTAAAACTTTATCCTGTCACAGTTCTGGGGGCCAGAAGACTAACATCAAGGTGTTAGCAGGGCTGTTCCTTCTGGAGTCTGAGGGAGGACCCACCCATCGTGCCCTCCCAGGTCCTGGTGGGAGTCAGCAGTCCAGGGTGTCTGCCTCCACTTCCCCTTCCCTGTCTGTGTCGCTTCTCCTTTGCTGTCTCTCATAAGTACACCTCTCATTGGATTTAGGCTCCCTCCTAGCCCAAGGTGACCTCAGGATTCCTACACAGGCTTCAGGTAGACATATCTGTTGGGGGCCACAGTTAACCCCACTACAAGGTCCAACTTCTTAGTACCACTGTTGCAAAGTAGCCAGCCACTGAGGTATGGATTTATTTCTGACTCCCAATTCTATTCCACTGAGCTCTGGGTCTGTCCTTTTATCAGTGTTGATTATGTGTGTTTTACTGTGTAGTTTAAAGACACTAGAAGCATTTATACAGTATTAGGTTTTTCTTTGAATTCCTAGTTCATATATTGAGTTTTGTTGCCCATTACTCGTATTTATCACCTTATCATATTTATCACTTCTTACCTATAATCCGTTTTCAAGCTCTTCATTTTTTTTCTTTAATTTTTTTCTCTTTTCTATCTTTTTTCAAGGCATTATCAATTATATTTATTTGCTTCTGGGACCTGCTTCATCAGTTTTTATTTCTGAAATCTTTTTATTTCTCTTTCCTGGATTCTGTCATTTCTTTTATAATTTTTCTTTTTCTAGATTGTCTAATTTCTAAGTATTTTTAGTTCTGATTTCTTTTTTCATAGCCTCCAACATTTTCTTAGCTTATTTTAAATCTGTTTTGTTGGCATTTCTTTTTTCAACTATTGGTGTTTCTCCCTACTGAGGGGATTTGTCTTGGCAGACTGCTTTGTTAATGGTGAAAAGGCGTTTACAAGACCAGCCCTAGGCCATTCCAGCTCTGCTAGGCCTCACCACGGACTTTCAAACATGCCTTTCATTAAGAACCTTTAACTTTGAGACATTAGAGTAGTGAAAGGCAAGGAATGAAATACCCTGTTGGGTCAGTCCACAGTAACAGTGTCGTGTAAAGTTGCCGACTTGGGGGCAGCACCCAAAATGACTGTTGATTCCCATCTCAAGTTCCACATCTGCCAATGTAGGATGTCTTGGACATCAAATGAAACACTTATGACACTGGCTGCTTTGGTAAATACAAGTTTCTTATACTAGTACTATTTAAAGGTGCCGGAAAACATAATATATAATATAATAATGTAATGCAGTTTAATTTGAAGGAAAACTCCTTTCTGTTTATTTTTGTTTAAAGATCTTAGTGGGCTTTATTAGCAATTTTAGAATCTGATCACACTATTCTATAGTACTCTCTAAACTCTTTATTTTTGTATGGCACAATTTAAAATCTTAAAGATCAGTCAACTATTTTGGAGCTAAAACTTACCTAGTTAACAAATGTCTTCTTTTTTTAGAAAGCATCTTCACACATGTCTCTCAGATATATACAGTAATCTTCCTCCTAGTACCAGATGAGGAAAAGACATGGAAGGGCTGAGGTGACCTCTGGGCCCAGAGTTCTTTCCACACCATTGTGGTGCACATAGTATGACCTTCGTTCTCTCACAGGGTTTTTTTTTTCCCATCAGGGAACATCATTCTCTGTCTGGCACATGTTGTCCACACACAGTGACAAGGACTCTTCTGCCCTTCCTTGACTCAGAAAGCCAGAGTCCCTCTCACCACAATCCAGCATCATGAAGGGCAGCCCAGCGGGAGGCGAGCAGAGGGAGGATGTGGAAGGTCAAACCACACCTCCCAAAGTGATTGAGAAGCCTGAGTGGGGAAAGAACAAGAGTAGGGAGAGAAAAAGAGAAGAGGAGGGAAGAAGTAGGCTTACAGTTCTGAGTTGGGCCTCCTGGAGTTTGGCCATGGTATTGGGAGTCCCTGTCCTTCCTTGCTGTTTGGGATCCACTTCTTGAATGTGGTGCCCATGAAGACCTACTGTGTGGGGTCTGGGTGTTGAGGCCACCTCCTCTAAGGGTGCCAGTGATTGAGGAATGATGGTCACGTAGGTAATGTGAAGGCAGTGGTAATAATGTTATTTGTTTGATCTTTAAGAACCTTCTCAGGGTAGGAAAATCAACACTTATTAGTTCTGGGGAAGATGAAGTGACCTTTCCCTCTTCAGTTGCCAGTTTTGTAGGAATAGATCCCGGAATTGCTGCATGGCTCATAGATCCCAGTGACGCCGCACCTTCTTTCGAGGACTTAGTGGCAAAACACCTTGAAAAGTCCACTATAGTCAGAGTGAGCAGCACGTATAGAAATTCCTCAAGAAATAGTGTGGTAAGTCATTTTAAGATGTGGTTCATTCACCTTATACAACCTTGACTTTTTTCTAGATGCTCTCCTACTTCATAACTAATCTAATAGTAAGAACATCATCAACCTTCATTTTCACTTATTCCACATAAATTCTTTGACTTTGGCATTTCTGGTGGGGGATGGTGATAGAATGGGAGATTTCCCACTTCCTGGTCCTGCAAAACCTCACTCAGTGTGTACTCTTCTGAGTGGATTCTCTGCTGTCAAAGTCGATTGTTCTGTAAGCAGAAAGCTGCCTCTCAATACATCCTTGGTGCTGGTGAGGAGGCCGCTGTTGCTGAGCCCACTTGGGGAGAATGGTGGGTCCTATCCTACCGACTCTCCTCAGCCCCACCCACCCCTGAGGATAGGGCTGGTGGAAAAAATGCCGCTGGTAAGCAGCCTTGGGCAGAGGGAGCTTAAAGTAGAACACAGCAGGGACCCGAAACTGGAATTCACCCCCTAGCCTTCATCCTCCTGACCACTGTGTGGGGCAGGCTGTAAATATCAGAAATGTACTCTTTCTGTTTAAAAAGAGGCTCACCAGAAGGTCATGAGGTAGCTGCAAGAATCAGAGGAAAAGCAGAAGCAGGGCTTGCAAGAAAAGGAGCCTGCAGGGCTGGGGATTTAGCTTAGTGGTTCTGCTGCCTGCCTCACAAGTGTAAGGTCCTGAGTTCCATCCCCAGTACCAAAAAAAAAAGAATGGGAGCCTGCAGCCTGGCCCAGGGCTGCTGCCACAGTGCCAACATGGCAAGGTCACAGTTTAGCTCTTGGAGAGCGGCTTCTTTCCCTTGTGGTCCAGTGTCCACTCCAGCAGGGGAGGGCGGGGTCCTGTGTTCACCGTTCCTACTCAAGAGTCCTGCGTCCAGGCAGAGAGCTGCCCCCAAATGGAAGCTGGGATATCATTACTGAAGGAAAGAGTTACCTACTTAGTATTGTCAGTCCCACTTTTCTCGTGGGGAAACAGACATTCAAGGTTAATGTACACTAACTTCACCCGAGGTCAAGTGGAGGCCATGGCTCAGTGTGTGTTTCTTTTTTGGTACCAGGGATCAAACTTGGGTCCTTGTGCTTAGGAGGCAGGCTGCAGAAACACAGCTAAATCCCTGGCCCAGACTCTTCTTTGCCATTTTTTTTTTTTTAGTGTGGGTTTCTGACTTTGTTTCTTTCCAGCATTTCCATGTATTTTCTTTCCAGCATGGGAAAAGATGGCTTGAGTTGCTCAAGAGAAAGGAAAGATCACTCATAGATAGGGAGTAGCACGGGAATGACAAGGCCACCCAGAGAACAGATGGGGAGGAGGAGTGCGGGTCAGGGGGGTGGCCACACCCGGGTGCTGGCCCATCCTGTGGCCACTCAGAGTGGAAACACAGCCAGTGGAGCTGAGAGAGACCCTGCAGGCAGCACTGTGGAATTCTGCCAGGTGGTGGCTGGAAACAGTCTAGTGTCCTCTAGGGGTCATTCCCTGGGAGCCAAGGCCAGGAAATGAAAGTCCAATCTGTGTGTGTGCAGCCAGCTACAGGCCTCTGGGTGAACCCAGAGGCCTCTGGCAGAAACTCATCCTGAGTGGCATAGGTTCTGGGCTGTTGAGCAGAGGTAGACTATATGCCAAGGGCTACCTCTCATCCCTCCCTGTCCATCAGTCACAGCCCTTCGGGAGGTCTCTCGGGTCCCCTTCAGGCATCTGTGCCAGAGTGGGAATGAGCAGGCGAGTGTGGGATGTGGCAGCCGTTCTATGTGGGCGAGGAGGGGTGGGGCCGAGAAGTACTCTGTTCTCGCTCTGGCAGTGTTTAACCCCTGTCCCAGGCTCTCTTCGTAAAATGAGGAAAACCTTGGGGGGTGAGAAAGTGCCTGCCGTGCATAGCTTGTGCCTGCGCAGTGGAAGTCTTTCAGCGGGCTGGGCCTTATCTGCCTGAGGCGACTGGTGATGCCACTGCACTTAGCGTCTGCCTGTCATCAGGAGCTCCTGGGGCTTCGCTGGGAGCACTTGGGAGATGTGTTGCCTTCCAGACTGTGGTGAGCATTGCTATGAAGTTTGTCTAAACTTTACCTTTTGCTCTCTTAAAGAACCAGAATGCACGTGTGAAGCTGAGTATACTCTACAGGCTTACGATGGACCTGTGCTTCAAATTGAAGGCAAGACATCTTGTTCTGAGTTCTGGTTTTGCAAGAGCTGAATTTTCACTCATACTCACTCATAGGGCACACTACCGGGAGAAGGTGAAGGAAAGTGACACCTTTGCTCTAAGGTCCCTCTCAGGAAAGGACAGACTGAGTAGTAAGACGTGAGGTTTTAGAAGGCTTTCTTTAGGTGGGAAATAACGGTGACCTGTTTCCATGCCTCCCCTTTACCTGGGGTGTTTCTGATGTAGCTCACATGGAAGCAGAGTGTTTGTTTTGTTCAGTAATGAAATGGACTCAGCTCCCCTCACTGACTGGGAAGCCACAGCCTCTGGAAGGGGTACCTGAGGGGCCAGAAGGAAGGGAGTGCATCCAGGGGGCAGACGAGGGAGGGCAGTGGTGAGAGGGAGAGGCCTGTGCCTATGTGTGTGTGTCCAGCCCACCTTGGATCACAGGCACAGGCAGAGAATCAGTCTGGAGGGGCAGGCAGAAAGTCAGGCAGTGGGGGCTGCAAGAGGAATCCAAGACTCAGACAGAAGCAGAAAGAACAACGATGAAAGTTCTCTGATGAAGAACAAGGGAGGGGAGGTGAATAAAAGTGCGGGCTTCGTGCTCATAGAGCAGGTAGCCCAGGGTAAAGATCACAGTGCCTCCTAGACTAGCTGGCAGTGGCAATGAGAAATCAATGACAATCTGCTAATATTTATAGGAATTCAATAAACCCATAGACTAAAAGTTCACAGGTACTTCATCTTAAACATGAGCGTGTGGTGTACACCCATAATCCTAGTTACTTGGAAGGCTGAGGCAGGAGGGTCACAAATTTAAGCCCAACCTTGGAAATTTAATGAGACCCTGTCACAAAACAAAAATTTTTAGAAGGGATATGGTGGCGCATACCTGTAACTCCAGCAGACTGGGAGGCTAAAGCAGGATTCCAGGTTTGAGCCCAGCCAGGCAACTTAGTGACTTAACAAGTCTCAATATAAAAATGAAATAAAAGTGTTGGGATGCAGCTCAGTGGGAAGGCCCTGGGTGCAATCTTCACTATGGGGGTGGTTTGGAATGGCCCTTGGCCTGCCTAATATTTCTGAATAATTTTCTCTACCAGGTCTTTTTTTAAAACAAAATATTTATTGGTACATTTTAGATATACATAATGGTAACATTCCTTATAGGGAATTTGTACCCATACATGATATATCTTGCTTCTTCTTTTTTCTCCCATTCTACCAGGTCTTGATGATAAAGCAGGATATGTAACAGAAATAAGAATTTTATCAGGAAGAACAGGGAGAGGAGTAGATGTGGGGAGGAAACCTGCCCAACAGGAGTTGCCTTAATTCTAGCTTCACAAAGCCATGTAACTTTTCAACAAATCCTAGTTTAAAGATGTATTTCTCCTTATGAAACAGGTTAATGGTTTATGGCAACTCTTTTGCACTTTGGAGCTTCCTCTAATCCCAATTTTGGCAGGTAAGTTACCATAAAGACAAAGCGAGTCATTTTACCAGAGAATTCTTCACATTGTTTGGAAATGAATCTTCGGTGTGGCTGATTTAGCAATAGGTACTATATCTCCTGGGTTCCAAGAGGTGCCAGTCCTTTATTTTCCTTTCTGAAATGAGGGGTTGGGCCATGTCACCTCCCAGTGTGGAAGAACATGAGTGATCTGACGTTTGGTCTTTGGGGACCCCTGCTGGTCTGTCTACCAGAGGAAAAGCCCTGCTGGGCCCTCTTCTGCTGGCCATTGTTTCTGATTCTGCTTGTTGCACTCCCCTTGGACCCTTGGTCATCACCTGCAAGGCCTCTTTCCCACGTTTGCCCCTGCCTGGGTCCTGCTATACCTACAGGAGAGCTCATCCTCACAGCCAGGGTGACTCTCCACTTCCCCCAAAGGCCAGCTCTGTCAGGGTTCGTGTGTCCTGATTTTAATATGAGAACACCACCAGGCCATGCGCTGGGGACACAGCAGTTGCTGTCATTGTGTCCTCACGAGGAGGGGGCTTTCTCCTCTATACTGAACAGAATTCACTCATATAACACAGATATGGTCTGAATTGATTTTGAATCATAGTGATGGAAAACCACAAGATTCAGGTGAACAAAGAAGAAATGGAGAGGATGTCAGCGCTTCTTGGGGTGAGCTGTCGCTTCTCTCCATCAGTCTCAATAGACTGTGCTTTTCCCCTGCCCTGTTGGCCCCAGTCTGGTGCTGACACTGTCCCTCCTTCTCCATGACCCTGAGGGGAGAACTTAGCACTGAAGGACTCAAATCACACTGCATCTATGGAGGGGGGCGTTGCATCCAGTAGGTATGTGTGATATTCTTTAATGGATCTTCAGGCTCCTTCTCAAAAGTTAGTTTTTTCTTGCAAGGACTTTACCCTTTAGAGTTTGGTGAGGGAATTCTTGGGCTTCCTGAAAAATAAAAATAGAGAAAAATGTATGGGAAATGTATAAAAATGTTCCACCTGAATTATGTCAAAGGAAAATGGAGTGTAACTCTCCTGAGCCAGAGCATGGGATGTTCAGATCCCCATGTACTTTCCCTGCTGAACCCCCTCCTTGCTGCTGGAAGTGACCGCCACCCTCCTTTGTAGTCGTGTGTTTGGTTGTTGCTTTTCTTTATCATTTTCCACATCGGTGCTGACTTGATATTTGCTTGCTTTTGATCTGTAAGTCAGTCAGTGGTTTGTGGGTGACTTTGACTTTCCCCTCAGACCTCTGTGCCTCTGCCCCACCGGCATCGCTGTGGGCCCTCAGAGCTGTGGATTGTGTCCCAGTGGTGTCTGCCCCACTGTCCAGAGGCATCTGGTAGCTTCCAGATTATGATCACGACAACCAAACTTGAGTTTAGATTCTGTTTTCCTGCTTACTAATGTGGTGCTTTTCAACTGTCACTGGCTGTGAAGAGTTTCTTTTCTATGGAGGATCTGCTCCAGTCTTTTATTCATTTTTATTCTGATTTATAGGACATCTTGATATAATTTGGGTACAGCCTATGATCTCTAACTCTCTTTCTCTGTCTTATTTTATGTGATGCTCGTTCCCTTTTCTAGTTCTAATGTTTGCCCTCCCAATTTTGATATATTATTATTTTTGCTTCTTTCAGTTTGTGTCCCTAGGTTTGAGGGAGAATAATTTTATGAACCTGAGCATTCCCCCATGAGTCAAAATATATATTTTTAATGTCTATTTCAGTAAAGTATATAGATTTGTTTTTCTTGGTACTGGGGATCAAACTTGGGTCCTTGTGCTTATGAGGCGGGCAGCGACACCACTGAGCTAAATCCCCAGCCCTGTGTATAGATTGTTTTTATTCCTTTAAGATCTTTTCTTGGGAATTGTTTAGTGAACAAATTAAGTAATTTTAATGTGAAAACTATGAATAGACTAATTGTGTTTATTGTATTTTTAGGCTCGTCTCAAAGAATTGGAGCAAGAAGCCCACTTTGTTGCAGGAGAACAGTTTCTTATAATGAGTAATAATCAACTCAGAGAGGTAATGCTAAATTTTAGTTCTTTCTAAAATGTATTTTTATTCAAGAGTTAAAGAGGAGATTTATTCTGAATTTACAAATACTACTTTAGGTTGATTGTCTAAATAGTATGTAAATAGTTTCACATTCTCTCACAAGTGAATTCATTTGGTCAAATCCTTTAAATCTGAGAAAAGTACCAAATGAGAATGTAAGGGTTTTTATAACATCTATTGAGCACATCTCCTCTGTGTTGTAGCCTTACCTGTAATGGTGATGTTCACTCCCTCCCTTGGGAGCTCTCTCACACGTGTGCATTGCTGTTTTTGAAGATCCTCTTTGGCAAGTTGAAGCTGCACCTGTTGAGTCCTAGGAAGAGCTTACCCAGACGCAGGCCACAGAAGCACCCATCCACGTCAGAGGCTGTGGTAAGGGTCCCACATCCTTCTTTGCAACATGCTCGGCATCTGCAATGGGGGAAGCACTCCTTGTTCCTCAGGGCAGCCTGCTAGACCTGGTGCTCCCACCCACAGTGGGGCTCTGGGATGTGGACCAGGACAGGCAGATGGTTGCTCTCCAGGAGTCACTGGCTGGCTGGACTTCTGGCAAAGGGTCATTTGGTAGAGCTTTGTCCTTAAAACACATTCTTAGCAATCCAGTCAGGGTGTGGAAGCAGAAGTCCCACAACGGGTGTCACGAAGCCCAGTGAGCTAATTCAGGCTCTGTCTGACCATATAAATCCCAGCAGGCGCACCATACCGGGGTTTGGAAGATGTTTATACAGCCCGCTGAGAGCATTAACTTCCTTGTCAGATAAAAAAAAAGGAACTTTTACAGAATGGGCCAGACCTTCAAGATTTTGTATCAGGTGACCTTGCAGACAAGAGCAACTGGGATGAATATAAAGGAAATTTAAAACACCAGAAAGGAGAAAGGTTGAGATTTCCTCCATGGCTAAAGACAGAAATTCCAGTGGGGAAAAATTACAATAAACTAAAAAATACATTACGGAATTTAAATCACCATACAGTGTGTGAGGAAGCTCGATGTCCCAATATTGGAGAGTGTTGGGGAGGCGGTGAATATGCCACTGCCACAGCCACAATCATGCTGATGGGTGATACTTGCACAAGAGGTTGCAGATTTTGTTCTGTTGAAACTGCAAGAAACCCACCTCCCCTGGATACCAGCGAGCCCTACAACACCACGATAGCGATCGCAGAGTGGGGCCTGGATTATGTCCTCCTGACCTCTGTAGATCGAGGTGATATACCTGATGGGGGAGCCGAGCACATTGCAGAGACTGTGTCATACTCAGAGGAAAGGAATCCAGAAATTCTAGTGGAATGCCTCACCCCTCATTTCCGAGGAGATCTTAAGGCAATAGAGAAGCTTGCCCTGTCAGGATTAGATGTTTATGCTCACAATGTCGAAACAGTTCGGGAACTACAGGGGAAAGTTCGAGATCCCCGGGCCAACTTCGACCAGTCTCTGCGTGTGCTGAAACATGCTAAGGAGGCTCAGCCTGCTGTTATTTTGAAAACATCAATAATTCTGGGTTTGGGTGAGAATGATGAGCCAGGTGTATGCAACAATGAAAGCACTTCGTGAAGCAGATGTGGACTGTTTAACTTTAGGGCAGTATATGCAGCCCACAAAACGCCACCTTAAGGTTGAAGAATACATTACTCCTGAAAAGTTTAAATACTGGGAAAAAGTAGGACATGAACTTGGATTTTGTTACACAGCAAGTGGCCCTCTGGTGCGCTCTTCGTATAAAGCAGGTGAATTTTTCCTGAAAAATCTAGTGGCTAAAAGAAAAAAGTCTCTGTAAAACTTAGAAGATCTACCACTTTGCTGCTAGTTGTCCAGAGGTGTCCAGGATGGCCGGACTACAGTGGGTGTGCTCCAGCTTCCTCTATGCTGAGAGAAATGTCAGTAAGCTGTACATAATTACAGTCACTCATCCGGCACTGAGCATATCCTCCTTATCTAATAAATAATTGCTTGTTAATGTAATCATGAAAAAAAAAAACAATCCAGTCAGGAATTCATACTTTGTGTCCCCAAAAGGGATTGGAAATGGAGATCACTAGTCTTCTCCTTCTCCACATTCATTTTAGAGAATTTTAGTTACCCCTTTCTTGAGAGGAATAAACTCTTAAAAGATCAAGGCTAGTGAGATTCTGCTCTACTAAGTGTCAGAGCAGAAATAGATTTTCAAAGCCAACAAGTGATTTTTACTGATACGTTGCAGAGTAGAGGTCAGTGAGTAAGTGTACTCCTGTCACTGTGAGAGCAGCCTGAGGCTCTGCTTTCTGCCTCCTGTGCCATGATCTTTGGATTTTGATGTAGAACAAGCTTACTTCTGAGACTCCTCCTCTAGCATCCTGCCTTTCCAGCACCACATCTACCTGCTTGCCTCAGCCCATGGTGGCACTTAGAGCACAGGCTCCTATGGAGCTACTCACCACCAGTCCACACCTGGTCCTAGCAGCTCTGGGTGGTTATTCGGTGAATAGTCATCTCCTACAGAAGATGCTTCGTGGAGGGGCTTGGATCTGCAGTCATCCAGATCTTGTTCTTCACCTAAGTGAAGGGTCCTACCCTCCTTTTAGGTCCTCAGGTACCAAGGTGGAGTAGTAGGGGAGCAGGGATGTTAGGGTCCATCCCTATGCCCACTTGCCACCTTATCTGACTGCTTTGTGTCTTGGTTTTTTGATCTATAAGAAGTGATATTTTCCCAGGAGGGAAAATATCTGTGAAGATTCAGTGAAAGTGTGAGTGCTTGTATGTCCAACAGAACAAAAAACAAAAAAAAAACAGTCAGAGTTGACCATAATTGTTATCCACTGGACCCAAACACCTGAGAGTCATTGTTGACTTTCTTTCAAGTTCATCAATGGCAAGTCCCAAACTCTTCCTGAAAAATGTGTCCTCTCTCACTTGATTTACTCCAAGTCTCCTAGCCAGTCCCTTAGACAGATCATGTTACTGCCCTGACTCCTGAGGTTTACCATCACATTCAGAATCCAACCCAAGCCATCGAGTGCATCTCCAGCCATGGAGCCAGGTCTTCCCCTGGTCCTGGCACTCCTCTCTGAGCCTGATGGCTCTGTGAGTCCTCACAGGTTCTTTCCCCAGCCCCCAGACTCTGCCCACAAACTGTGCCTGCTGACTTCTGATTGTCAGCTTAAATATTGTTTTCAAAAGGCTTTCTGCTCAGTCTCTGCAGTAATGCCTGTCATTCCATGTGTCTTCCCTTGATTTGCTCTCTGCATACTACTTACTGTTACTAGTGTGATCTCAGGTGTTTGCTTGCTTATTCCACTAGAATGTAAGTTGTACTCGTCAAAGACCTCACTTTGTTCCCCTTACTAAAACAGCGTAAAACCGAATGTCTGTCTACTCCAAGAGCCTAGGACAGAGGTATTCCTGGGAGCTGAGCCCCATGTTGCTGGAGAGACCCCAGCAGAGCAGAGGTGGACAGTGGACTCTAACACTTTGATGGTGGCGCCACCTGGCAAAGCCACAAAGTGTTCTCTGCAGCTGCAAGAGGGGATCCCAGGCAGATCATTTTCTGCCCCAGCACCAGCTGGCACTGTTGCCCTTCCCTTGCAGCTCCTGTGCTCTCCAGACAGCCAGAGGTATAAGAAAAGAAGTCTTAATTCTTTCCTGGTGTTACAGTGTTTTCCTCTGGACAGTGTTGAGACAGTGTCTTTAACAGATTCTTTTTTTCTACAAAGACATGATTGACATGAACCGTACCTCATTCTCTTCTTTAACTAAACAGGCCGTGCTGTTCATTTTGTGCATTAACGTGATGACTATCAGTAGGTAATACATACCCAGGCCTCTAAGGGGAAGATTAGGACTCCTGTCCATTCCTTCCCTGCATCCCCCTTCACAGGTCCTGGTGAACCTTGCAGCCCTTCCCAGCCCAGCTTTCTCCCCTCCTCTCTGCCCTTTCCTGCATAGCATAGAGAGGTTCACAGTAGTGTCTAGCCAGGGATTTAGTTTAGTGGTGCTGCCACGCCGCCTGCCTCACAAGAGCGAGGTCCCGAGTTTAATCCCCAGTGCCAAAGAAAGAAAAAAGAAAAAAAACTAATGGTATCTAGGCATCAGCCACAAATTGTTAGGCTCAGCTCCCTGGACTGATTGGGGATTGAGTTCCAGCAAGGCCTGAACTTCACATTGTTCCTGGAGTTCTTCTGGTGCTCAAAACAGTGACTGAGGCCCAGTGGACACTCAGTAAGCCTTCAGCTTTTCACATGAACCAATTTTTTCCTTATTGTTTTATTCCATGTATTTCTTTTCTTTTCCTTTTTCTCTTTCTTTCTTTTTTTTTGAGACAGGATCTCACTATGTAGTTGAGACTGACTGACCTCACTGTGTAGCCCAGGCTGGTCTCAAACTCACTGTGATCCTCCTGCCTCAGCCTCCCGAGTGCTGGGATTACAGGTGTGCGCCACCATGCCCAGCAATTCCATGTAGTTCTCATTCCATTATAATTCTTCTTTGATCACTGAATTGTTTGAAAGTGTCTTTATAATTCCAAAATTTGGGGGGCTCCCCAGATATTCTCTTATTGATTTCTGAAGTAAATGCACTATGGTCAGAGAATATGACCTCCACATTACCAGCTCTACACTCACTGTCAGGACTCACCAACATGTCTACTGTACCTGTGGCTCACACAGGAGGGCTCTTCCTCCTTCCACACCAGCTGTGGAGCAGTGGGAATTCCCACACCTCAGTAAACACAGGGAGGCAAGAACAGGAATCCCTCCTTAACCACACATGGAGGCTTTGGCGTTCTTTCTTCCAATGAAGGCACATGTTTTCAGAGCATTGTAGGGGATTCAGATACTGGGAAGATGATCTGATCTGGGAGTCAGAATCGTGGCCGGCAGACTGGACTAGCTGTTCCTCATTTCTGGAAGTTGCCCCTCAGACCTTCCACAAACTGAAGCGATGATGCATATCCTCTGGTAGGTGTCTGGTGGGTATCATGCATACTGATGGACTGTGCAATACTGCCATGAATAGGACAGGCATCTTCCCTATTTTATTTAGCAAACATTTATTGTGGTACTGTGTCAGATGTTTATAGCCTGGTAAGGAAGGCCTTTGTCATCATGAAATACCTGTTCCAGTGAAAAACCGTATTAGGGTTCTCCAGAAAGACAGAACCCTTAGGATATATGCAGCTATGCAGAGGGGATTTGTGGGCCAGGGATTTAGCTCAGTGGTTCCGCCGCCTGTCTCCCAAGGTCCCAAGTTTGATCCCTGGTACCAAACAAAAACAAACAACAACAACAAGAAAACAAAAACCAGGGGATTTGTTAGGGAAACTGGGTCATGGAAATTGGAAGCTAAGCAGACCCACAACTGTCCATCTATAAGCTAGAGACCAGGATGCTGGTATATGATTTAGTCCAAGCCCAAAAGCCTTAGCCCAGAGAAGCCGATGATGTGATTCTTAGTCCAACGTAAGAGGCTCAGGAGCTACTGGTAATAAGTCCTAAACTCCAAGGGCCAGAGAGCTTAGTGTTCTGATTCCAAGAAAAGGTAAATTCACCTTTCCTCTTTTTTTAAAATCCTGGCCCTGACTGAGTGGATGGTGGCATCCACACAGAGGGTGGATCTTCCTCACTCAGTCTCACACCAGGCTGCCCTGGTGTTTCCAGGTACACCCCAAAAGAGTACTTCATCAGCTCTCCAAGATTCCTAAATCCAGCAAGGCTGACACCTAAAACCAACTATCACAGGGACACGTTCATCCAGTGGATAAGGCCCACTTAAGCAAAAACAAGGTCATGACAAAAATATAGTGAGAACGATGGACTTTAGATTGAATTTTCCAGAAAGAATTCTGAAAAAATTATGTATAACTAGAAGCTTAAAGGTCAGGAATCACCCACATCACAAACAGGAAGCAGAGCCTGCCAAAAGGGCGGCTCTGGCTGCTCCAGAGTCAGGTGGCAGCCTTGTGCTCAAGAGAGAAGTGGGCAAGGACCTCATCATGCTCTGGTCTTCAGGCCATTTTGCAGAGTGCAGATCTTAATACAATGGGTGGCCTTGGAATGGCTCACATATTTGAATAGACTATTTCAGAATAGTTTTAGTTTCACAATAAAATCAAGCAGAAAGTGTTTCAAATCAAAATCAAGGCAGAATTTTCTTTATACTCTTTATCCTTACCCATGCATGATCATCAGCTTCCCCCACCATTGCAATTTGGATTTAAAATGACCCCACAAGTCTCCTATGTTCAGAGTATGAGGATTTTGGAAGGTGAGTGGGTCGTGAGGATATTATACTCATCAGTGGATTGTCTCTGGCTCCCCTCTTCTCTTACTGCTTCCTGGCTGCCATGGATTGAGAAACATTCCTCTGCCTTGGAGCGGAGCTACCCATGAACTGAACCCTCTGAAACTATGAGCCAAAATAAACTTCTCCTCCCTTAAGTTATGAGAATTGGACATTCTGTCCTAGCAATGGGAAAGTAACTAATACACTCACAGACTGGTACATTTGTTGTAACTGACACATAATTATCACTGAGGTCTGCGTTACATTGTAGTTCACTCTTGGTGCTGGATATTTTGTGGGATTAGGCAGATGTGTAATGACATGTGTCCACCATTGTATATAGTTATTTTCACTGCCCTAAAAATCATCTGTGCTCTGCCTGTTCAACCCTTGGTCTTTCCAACTCCTGGAAACCTCTGATCTTTTTATCTCTTTGTCTCTTCAAGAATGTCATAAACACAGTGGTTCTGTCACCTGCCTTGCAAACGCAAGATCCCAAGGTTGATCCCCAGTACCAAAAAAAAAAAAAAAGAATAAAATATTATTTTGGGGGCTGGGGTTTTAGCTCAGTGGTTCTTCCACCTGCCTCACAAGTGCAAGGTCCTGAGTTCAATCCCCAGTACCAAAAAAAAAAAAAAAAAAAAAGCCAAAAACTGTGGTTGCTATCATATATTATCTAGCCTTTTTTTTTTTCAGCTTTAATTGAGTTTATTGGTACATTTTAGGGATACAGTACAGTTACATTCATTGTTGGGATCTTGTACCTCTACATCATGACAAGTTTTGGTTCTCATTTTTTCCCCTTGTCCCTGCCCTCCCTTCACCCCCTCCTCCTCTCCCATCTACAATTACTTTATTTCCATCTTTTCATTATCTCACATTTTTTTATTTTCCCTTTTTACACTTCCCCTACCCGTCCCACCTTCCCTACAACACTAGCCTTTTAATTATTTATTTATTTATTTATTTTGGTCCCAGGGATTGAACTCGGGTCCTTGTGCTTGCAAGGCAGACGGACAGAACCACTGAACTAAATCCCCGACTCTCTCCCTGATTTTTAATGTATCATAGCCATTTATTTTTAGCATTCAATAATATCTTATTGTGTCCATGTACTACAGTTTATCCATACACACACACACACCCCAACTATAGGGCATTTGGTTGCTTACAGATGCTATCATTTGCAACTAAAGCTGCTGTATGTATCTGTATGCTGGTTTTTATGCAGATACAAGCTTTCACCTTCTTTAGGTAAATAGTAAAACATGATTACTGGATCATCTGGTAAGAATGTTAAATTTTTGTTGTTCTTTGGCTCCCCACCCAACCCCATGCAGTCCAGGTTGGCCTCAAACTCCCAGTGATCCATCTGCCTCAGCCTCCTGAGTGCTGAGTTTGTAGGTGTGCACCACCACACCCATCTTAGAATATGTTAAATTGTGTAAGAAACCATGAAACTGTCTGCATCATTTTGTATTCCATCAGCAATTAGTGAAAGTTTCTTTGTCTCTCATCCCCACCAGCATTTGGTGTTGTCAGTTCTAGTAGGTATTAGGTATGTTTTTAAAAGATCACTCTTACTACTGGTTGGAGAATGGAGAAGACTCATTAATAAACAGGCTGTCACTGGGGTCTGGGCAATGGCAGTGAAGTGTAGAACAGAAAGGACTTCCTGGAATGGTCATATGAGAGTCAACAGCAGTGAGGATGTGTAGTTCCAGAGTTTCTGAGTTGCCAGGCCAGATATGGCCATTACTCAGGCAAAATGGCGAGAGGGATAGTTTCTTTGGGAGATGTCAAGTGTTCAGTGTTGAGTGTGCCCTGGAGACCCTGCTATGCACCATGTCACCTAGGCGGTCAGGTCTGTGGGATGGAGCTCCACATGAATATCTGTGTTGGAGATGCATCCTTGAGAACTGTCAGGGCCACTCTCGGACAGTGGTCCTCCATCCTGCCTAGATACTTGGAAAACACAGATACCCAGGAACACAACTGATCACGACCCAGTCACAGGGCTGTTTTTTAAGCTCCCCTGCTGATCTTGATATGCAGCCGGCACTGCTAAGCACAGAGCTGAACTCTGAGAAACTGACACTTAAAGGTCAGGGAGGGGAGATGCCAGTGGGAGACCGTGGTGTGGCCAAAGTGGAATGGCGGTCAGAAGAATGTGGGGCCAGGAGCCAACACAGCCTTTGATTCAGCTGCCAAGCTGCAAGTAGCCCATGTCCTCTGCCTCCAGTCCTTAACCAGCATTTGCAGAACTTTGTATACAGTATTGTATGCTAAGACACCTGATTCTTTCAAGTGTACTCAGACTACTCATGTCCAGCCAGATACACAGGCAGGCTGTGGGAAGGAAAGCTGTTTTTGAATGAAGTATGGGGGTAAGAGAGTTAGGTGACACTAAGCAGTTTTCTTGGGTATTTTCCTGCACTTCATCCCCCTAAGAGTATCTTGGCTTATACTTTGGCCAGATCCCTCCCCTGGACGGTGTCTGCACCTGAAAATGCATGTGTTGACTCCTGTTTGTATTTCTGTGGCCACAACTTCAACTCTGTCCTCAGTCTTTATTCAAAGATTGATATGACTTGATGGTTCACATTAAAATCATGTATCATTAGCTCTCCCCTGCGCTGATTTATAGATTCTAAACAATCCTAATTAAAACCCTGGCCAGAGACTTTTGGTAGAAATTGACAGGCTGTTTCCCAATTTTATATGGAAGTTTTAAAAACTGAGAAGAGAGGGGCTGGGGATTTAGCTCAGGGGTGCCACTGCCTGTCTAGCAAGTGCAAGGTCCCAACTTCAATCCCCAGGACAAAACAAACAAACAAACAAACAAACAAACAAAAACAACTGAGAAGAGCCAAGATAGTCTTGGGGGAGGCACTATCAGAGCACTTAGTCTCCTGGATAGCAGACTGATGATAAAGGAATAGGAATCGCTAGGAACTTATTAAGCAGTACCTTTAGTGTGGGCTCGAGGAGAAACAGGTCAATGGACCAAGATAAAAAATCCAGAAAGAAGGACTGGGGATGTAGCTCAGTAGTGCTGTGTCTTCCCTGCAAGTGAAGGTCCTGAGTTTGATCCCTGGTACTGAAAAAAGAAAAAGAAAATCCAGAAAGAGACACTTGTGTGTGTACAGGAAGCACATAGTCTCTGACAGGGGTCGTGCAGCGCAGTGAGGAAGGGGAACTCACTGCACGGACACATGAGGCAGCCCTGACTGACATCTCATACTGCACACAAAAACGAACTTCACGTGAACTACATGTAAGTACAAAAGCAAAACACTGAAGCCCAGAGAAGATACTGCGAGAGAATACTTAAAGATCTTGAGGTAGGTAAACATTTATCAACAGGACATAAAGTGCATCAACCACAAAGGGAAAGATTGATGAATTAGTTGACAGTAAAATTAAAAATCTGTGTTTATGAAATGCACCATTAAGTGAAAAAAAAAACAAGCCACAGAAGGGCGGAAGATACTTTAAATACGACTAGCCAAAAAAAATCTTGTTCAGAGCAAAAAAAAACTGTAATGAAGAAGTATATTGGGTCTGGAGATGTAGCTCAGTGGCACTGTGCTGACTCGGCAAGCACAAGGTCCTGAGTTCAATTCCCGATACTGAAGGGGAAAAAAAGTATAGAAGACACACAAACCAATTCTTCAAATGAACCAGATACAAGGATTTAATGAGAAAGGATATATAATTAGTCAATAAATACATGAACTGTGGCCAACTTCATTAGTCATCGGGAGATACAAATTACAAACTATAGAGATGTCACTTGTCACTTAGCAGAGCAGCTAAATCCAGACCTGGAAAGCATCATTGGCAAAGGTGTGGAACAGCCGGAACTTGCATCTGTTTCAGTTGGGGACTGACTGCGCCTTTGCTTTGGAGTGCTGGCAACGTCTCTGCTGGTGTGGACCAGCTGTCTCTGTCACACCTGTTTTAGTATGTGTCCCACAGAACCATGGACATTCGCTAACTAAAATCCATGTACCAGGCTGTTCATAGTAGCTTTATTTGTGACTGCCCTGCAGCAGAAAAAAAAACCCTGCATATCCCTCAGAGATAGGATGGATAAATAATTTTCCTGCATTCCTGTACTGAATCCTATACAGCAGTGCAAATCAACACAGTACCACTTCATGCCAGATAGATGGATGGGCCCTGAAGTCAAAACATTAAACAGCAGAAGCCACATGGGAAAGAGTAGGGCAAGGTGGTAGAGTGGGCCAGCCAAGATGTTTTGTTACTATGGCTTTGTAGTATGTTGTAAAATAGGATATTATGATGCTGCCAGCATTGATTTTTTGACTTAGAATTGCTGTTGAGGTTTAGATCTAAAATGTCCCCCCAAAGTCTAATGTGTTGAAAATGGGGCTTTTGGAAGGAGATTGGATTCATTATGAATGAATTATTCCATTAATATTTCAGAGCTGAATGTGGTATTAGGAAGTGGGGTCCAGAGAGAGGACAGGCACCGCTGGGTGCTGCCTCTGAGGGGCCTCTCTTTCTCTGCCTCTCTCTCTGCTTCCTGGCTACTATGTGTTACACCAATTTTCTCCACCATCCCCTTCCTCCATGCCATTCTGCCTGGGAGCCATTTGGCCATGGACTGAACCCTCTGAAACCATGAGCCGAAGTGAAACTCCTCCTTTAAACTGTGGTGTCAGATATTTTGTCCTAGTGATAGGAAAGGTAATACGATTGCTTTTCTAGGTCTTTCGTGTTGCCATATGAATTTTAGGGTTATTTTTCTAGTTTTCTGAATAATATGGGAATCTTGATGGGGATTGCATTGAATCTATAGATTGAGTTTGATAATGTGGCCATTTTATCAATATTAATTCTGCTAATCCATGAATATAGGAAAACTTTTCCATTTTCTAGTGTCTTCTTCAATTTCTTCCTTCAGTGTTCTGTAATTTTTCACCGTAGAGGTTTTTCACCTCCATGGTTAGGTTGATTACTAGGGTTTTTTTTTAAAGCTATTATGAATAGAATTATTTTCCTGTTTTCTTTCTCAGATAGTTCATTATTGGCATATAGAAAAGTTATTGATTTTTTAAAATGTTGACTTTTTGAAATGTTGATTTTTTTCATATCCTGTATTTTTATTTTTTAGTTAAATTCTCTGCAAGACCTTCATCCCTTACCCAAGATAATTTTGGAATACAGGCAGGTAAGTTGACTTTTTGGTAAGGAGTTTGTGATGAAGGGGAAGTGCCTGTCCCTGTCCCTGTTAATAAATCACCATTGCTAAAGTGCCCTGACAGTTCTCTAATGGGGTACAGTTAGTTTCTCAGGTTGATCTTATGTTAACCGTACTTCCTTGAACCTTGACATGATCTTACTCAAGTCTGCAGTTATCCTACCTAGCCCTGGGAACCAAAGGGATCATTTAAAAAGACTGACACTGTGTCCTTGCTCATGACTTCAGTGTGAGTGAGACTTCTGCCAGTATCCACAGAAGCCCCGGCCTCCTCCTGGTTTCTAAGCTCCAGAGCAGGGTTTGTCTTTACCAGTAATGTTTGCCGGGGGTTAATGACACACCTCACCTCCTCTGGCACTCACCTTTTCTCTGTTCACCCAACTGCCCTTCACTTCCCAGGTTTTGTTGTTTGGGAGCAACACTGAAAACGTTATCATCACTCACACCACTGTCCTGTTATTTACCGAGCCTGTGGCCTACTGTCTGTGTTTGGGAGTACGCTAGGGCTAGTTGGCCCTTTCTCCTGAAGCGTGAGAAATAAAAAGAGCCCCCACAGGGGACGCTGGGCTGGGTATTTATCTGCTTATCTTCGCAACTTTTCTGTAAATTTAGAGTCACTGTAGAACAATAGATTTATTTTAAAAGGGAAGGATGGCATCTCTCCCTGTGAGCCACTGTTATTCAATCCTGGCACCACCTCAGGCCATCTGAGGTGACCAGCAGCACATACCTGGCCCTGCGTGAAGTGCTGCTCTGGTGCTTGTTCTTGTTTAAATATTTAATGAAGAGATTATTGTTGTCTTTGTGATTTAGGTTCACAAGACCAAGTCGACCTTTGTAGATGGGATACTAGCATGCATGAAACAGGTAATAGGCTTTAAACAAAGAAATGGTGATGTGACTAGGAATATGCTTATAGATGAGTTCAGATACACATAGAACTTTTATAATTCTAGTAAATGATGAAATGGTCTAGTGTTCTTAGAACTGGTTCTTGAACTGTGGTTCTGGTATGATTTGGGTTTCCACGCAGCACAGGTCTGGCATTATGCCTCCAGACTGTCCACTTGAGAGGAAGCTCTGCAGCTGACCTCTCGCTTTTACAGCTATTCTTGTCTGTCTTCTGGAACCATTTGAGATATATGTTATTGTTTAGTTCATACACATGGAGACTAGTCAGAGATGTTCTGTGACTTACTTGAGGCTACTCAAGTAACAAGTTGTTGGTGACTCACAGTGCCAACTTGACCTGTCAGCTCATCCCCCACTTGCCCCATACACTGGATTCGTAAGTGACATAAAGGCCTACCCGTCCTGTTGCTGCTTCTCCTTGGGGCAGAGGGACACGTCCTTCTTCACCCATCATGACCCCATGCAGAAGAACATTCAGAGGTGAGAGTTCAGGGTCTGCAGCTCATTGGCCTCTAGAGAAGCAGTAAGTGTTGTGAGTGAAGAGCCCCAAACAGCATTGCCGTGGCTTACACAGATTCTTTTTAATCGATCAAGGGTTCTATTTCCTCTACGTGGAATCAGACTGGAACTGTGACCGGGAGACTTTCAGCCAAGCATCCTGTGAGTTAGTGTCCTTTGTTGAATGCCAGTTTCTGTGCCTTGCTGCTAAAGTTTTTCCTAGATGTGTTTGCCTGTGCAATTTTAATTCAAAGAGGGGACCTCATGCTGAGAATTTGATTTCAGTCTATATAATCATCCCCCAACCCTTCTGGTCACACTTCTGTATTCTAGGGACAAGACTCTGAAGTGCTGAGTCAGGAAAGGGGACCCCTCCCCAATCCAGGGACTCTAGTACTGAAGGCAGAAAGGACCCTTCTTTTCCCCCATCTTCCTTTTCAGATTTGTGCTGTCTAGGTGACAGAAGTACCTCTGATGACCACTTCCGTCTTTTGGTTGTTGAAGACTATTTCTCATGAAAAAGTCCTAAATGCCCCTGAGTTTATGATGCACCTTTAGTTTCATTTTGTTTGTTTGTTTGTTTTGTTTTTGAGGCAGAGTCTTGCTGGGTAGGTCAGACTGGCTTTGAACTCACTATGTAGCCCAGGCTGGCCTTGAACTTGTGGCGATCCTCCTGCCTCAACCTCCCAAGTACTGGGATTAAAGGTGTGTGCCACCACACCCAATCATATGATACGCCTTTAGTAATACTTATACAGATACCTTGCAAATGACTTTGTATTTCTAATATAAAGAAGATTCGCTACTCATGTCTCATTACAGAAAAGTTCTTTAAGTACAGAAAAGAAATATAAACTAAGGAAAGCCACATTATTCCACCATGTAGAGCCAACTGTGTTTGACATCCTGGGTCTATCTTTTCATACTTTTTGCTAAGCACATGTAATCATAAAAATTTTTTTTTCTTTTTTCTTTCTTTCTTTCTTTTTTTTTTTTTTTTTTTTTTTTTT